AAAAGTTGGAAGACTGGAGTAATTTACTGTGAGCTTCGTTATTCTTTAGAGCAAGATAATAAAAGGAATATATTTTAACATAGTTTGTTGTTAGTTATGGTAGCCCGACGGTTGGTTTCTGGGTTGTAATTTCTGAACTAGTCTGGTTTAGATTTATAAATTTGATGCATATCATTCAGTTAACTAAAAGCTGTATGTTCGCCTCAATGGGTGACTTGTACTAAGCTTAGTACTAACAATAATTGAATGTTCTTACTTTTCAGTTGTATAAATTTCAAATTATATTTTCCTACATTTTACTGCCTTGATGCAAAACGCATCTAAACTTTAATTTAATTATATATATATGATTCCTTAGAATATATATATATATATATATATATATATATATATATATAAAAGTGAACATAGAAGTCAACACTTAGAGGCGACAGTCTGTTTCATGCTAGACGCAAACTTCAGGCCTGACGATTGCGTCTAGCATGATCAAACTGAACTCGTAAATATTTACATCGGTTACACATGCTTATCCAGACGGCTTTCGTTACACCTATCTGATCACAGCTCCATTAGAACCCATTTAAACACACACACAAACTTACCAGACTCTATTAGAAACATACGTAGAAAACACAAATATATTAAGTGCATCCACCTGTAAAAAAAGTTTAAAAATAATGGAATCTTTAATAATAAAAAGAAAAAAACAACTCTTAACAATATTAATTACGAACAAGGCCACAATGTGCTAACCGTATTCGGAAATTAAAAACATCCCTATACACATAACGCACACACTCAATTAAGCTGAAAAATCGAATCATCCTTGATAATGGCTAAAGGTATAGCCGAATGCGCTCGGAAAATATAAAACATTTGGAGAGTTTTTACACACTCTTTGTCCAGAAAAGAAAGCTCTCGTTACAACACAAGAAAAATTAAATAAAAAGCTTAAGCGTAGTACCTTGTCTGTCGGTTTTAATGAAACATGCATATATATATATATATATATATATATATATATATATACAGTATTTACATTAGTCGGACTATTGTCCTCATCTTTGTCGCCATATTTGTCACAACGTTTCGGCCGTTGTACGCTCCGGCCTTCTTCAGGTGGTTGAAATTTCGAACTGAACTCTTTATTTCGATCGCTGGGGTAGACTGTTCTAATTCCACGTGCCATGTTTGATGGATGTCAATTATCATTTATCTCCTGCTAATTTTCCCTCTGAAAGTTCTCCACTGCCTTAACCATGAATTGAACTCACCTTCTTTGGGTCTGTCACTGGATCTAACCAACGCCTTTATCCACTGTGCCATGTGTCCTTGAGGACATCTGGGTATGAACTTCTGAGTATTATAAACCTAATGTTTTCAGCATCATTTTTATCAGTGCTCATATTGCAATTTTTGCTGTTATCATTCCATGTCTTTACCAGAGTTCATATTGCAACTTTGTTATCATTGCTTTTCTCTGGCACTCCTTATTACTGGTTCCCATATTGTATTTATTTCTATGCTTGGTCGGCTCAGGAGATTTTTGTGGCCTAGCATATGTGCTGATTCCTTAAGTTTACGAATTTTCCAATGGTGTTCCCTGTCTATGATCTCAACATGATCCCACAGGGGGGCGGTGATCTCCCTTCCTCTCCATATGTGGTCAGCCACGCCTGATTTTTCTACTTCCCCTCGCGTTACAGCTTTCTGGTGTTCTTGAAGCCTTACCTTGAGGGGGGCGGCCTGTCTCTCCTTTATATTCCTTTCCGCATATATATATATATATATATATATATATATATATATATATATATATATACTAGCAGAATGGCCCGGCGTTGCCCGTGCTTGATTCAAAAATCGTATGACTCATACAGCAATCGCTATCACTTGACTTAAAATATTTTTGCATTTAAAGGAGTGCCCTTTGCCGTGCTGATGTTGCTACATGCCTTACTTCTTGCCTATCTCACACTGCGAATTTTTTCTAAGCTCAATACTAAACATTAAATCTGTTACGAAAAAAGAACTAAACTAAATGAACACAAAATAATCAGCTTTAAAAAAAGGACTCGTAACTGGAAAAACCGAATGAAAAAAGAATGTTAACAACAAATATTTTTCACACCCAACCCAGTTCTGCGGAATCAGAATCAACGTTGAGTTTAAGCAAGCGAATGAGCCAATTGGAGTAAAGTGCCATGCAGATTTAATTTTTCCCACTTGTGACGAATGCAGCTATCGATTTTTTTGCATGCTAGCATGCTAGTTAACCTTCGTGCCAGTCAGTTGTTGATTCTCACGCTGGCCAATAGAATCTTCCTGCCTATTCGTGGCAGCCAGCTATAGGCTCTCACTCTGGGCAGTACAAAATGGCCGCAAACTACATGAAAACTGTCGTAGAAGCATGAAAAATTCGATTATTTCCACTATCGATGGGAGTTGGGAAATGCAAAGTCGGTCTTGGCCTTTCCGCTAAATTGGAGCATGTGCATGTAAATTTTGGTGCAAATCCGTCGAAAATTGCGGCCGTGCATTCGTTACACACACACACACACACACACACACACACACACATATATATATATATATATATATATATATATATATATATATATATATATATATAAAAAGGATGTGTGTGTGTGTGTGTGTGTGTGTGTGTGTGTGTGTGTGTGTGTGTGTGTATTCTAAGGAATTTGCAGATTCTATTTATAATCCGAAATTATTTTTTTGAAAATAGTTTTTGAAAAATATGCCTATTTTTTAAACAGTCGAAATTTACCTCTACTGGTTAATAGATATTATAAAGAAAATATACCTGCTGGCAGGTTCAAACTTGCGTCCGCCTTCCGTTATAGATCGTTATAGACTGTTCAGTCACAGAATATTTTATAGTCAAGGAATGTTCAAGCAAATGTATATATCTTGTTCAGGTGTTTTGAAGCCCATATCTGCTAAGGTATGCCCTGTGTGGGCCAAATTCTGCAAGCCCTTTTCCTTATTTACGTTTCTAACGCATTTACAGGGACTATCTTTCTCAAAAGTTAAAGTCTTAGAGGATCCGATAAAAGATGACTAATTATTTTAAGAACAAGTTTAAAATAAACTAAACAAAATTATCATGCTCCATAGAGTAATAGGTTAAAAATCTGAGATTATTTTAGTCATTAAACATATTTTCCCATTTCGAGGACACACATAATTACACTGAATAATTTCAATTGGGAAATAAGGTGTTAGCATGTTATTTTTGCACATATCGAATTTAATAGACATAACACTTTAAGGGTGTCATTGTAAAACAAAGGATATCCGATGTTTCTGATCTTTATAAAACCATTGACAACAAACTTGTTCATATTGAACCTAAGTTTAACTTACAACTATATTTTAACGCAAATACCATCTTCTTTACTACATAAACACATCAGATCTTTAACTTAAAAAGATTTATACATGAAACAACATACACAAATTTAACTTTCAAATATTTTCTGTATGAAAAAATAATTTAATATTTCCATATATATTTTTATATTTTAAATATTTTCTTGATATTATTTTCATCAATTCCTTTGTTAGACAAAGTTAGTAACTGAGTAAATATTAATACCGATTGCAAAAGAATTGGAAAGCTTGTATATCCCGGAAATAATTTACACACCTGAAGTGTTGAAGCCAAATTTAATCAAACTTTCTCTCACTTAACCCCAACAATGATAAGTGCCGTCTTTGTAATAACTAAATGTAATCACGTACACAAAAATTATACAATCAAAACGCATGTAAAATATACAAATAATAGACTTAAGTTTATGGACAAATTTAACATTAGGAATATTATAATAATAATAATAATAATAATAATAATAATAATAATAATAATAATAATAATAGCAGCAGAAGTTTTAACCAGAATCTGTTTTAATTAAGGAAAACGAGAAAAATTGATGTGTTTGAGATTCAAACGGTTTATCATTAAAAAAACAGAAAAAAAATGTCTCAATGGATTACATAAAATATAAAGAAATTTAAACGCGGGATAAATATCTTGACCTCACAAGAGAACAAAAGAAATCATAGAACATGATGGCAACAGTGGTGACAATTGTTGGTGGCGCACTGGAACCAATCGAAAAAAAAATCTAGAGAGAAAGAAATAAAGAGAAAACAGAAATAGACAGATATACAGAAACAGAATAACATTTTTTTCTATATATATATATAGACAATGTGGACACATAAATCATGGTTCGTATGTCCACATAGTCTATATCTATAAACGCTCTATCTTCGATATTTAGCACTCTTATAAGAAATTATATAATGAATTTTAAATTATATATATAGATATATATGTATGTATGTATGTGTGCGTGTGCTTATGTGCGTGTCTGTACATTGCAACAAAGGAGGCGTTAAGAGAATAAATAATTTTAATAATAGGAAAAAAGAAATGATCTTATTACGAGATGACGAGGCAATTAGTATCGACTGCCAAAATATACCAAATATAGAGTAAAAGGAAATAAATCTAGTTTAAATCGATACTTTCAATCACACGTAAAATAAGAAATTATATTTAAGATGTTACAAAAAAGAACAGATTAAAAATAATAATAATAAACTCAAAATCACGAAACAAATAAGAAAATAATTTCAGTGATTTAATTGTGTTTTACATAAAAAGCCAAAATATATCTATATGAAAGTGCGATAAGTTATAGAGACTTGCCTACTGTTTTCTTTGTAATAACTAAATGTAAGGCCGCACACAAAATTATACATTCAAATAGGGGTATAAATGTTTCTATTTCAACATAATTAGCTGTTTGTGACTGCAGTGGTAAATAAATTGTAATCGTATACATTGAACATTATACACTGAAAATTACAGATTCAAATTCAAGTCCGTGTCATCATGTGGTCCTATTGTACCTACCTATATGATTAGTGTAGGATATGTAAGCAGGCATACACATTCCAAACACCTT